AAGCATATCAGTTTCGGGAACAACTGTTATGAGAGGAAGTCCCATTTAAATCCCACAGAATACTGTTGAGTTGATGTTTATGATTGCCAGGATATGACAGGGCAAACTACTAGCCTTGTCAATGCAGAGAAGCTTAGAAAACGCACTGTAGTGCCCTGTTACAGTATCGAATCCACAGTTGATCTTAAGAAAACAATTTGTCTATGCTGAAGAGTGGAGACACTAGTTCTGAGGTTTTTGACGAATTTAAGGATGATTTGCAGGAAAGTGATGACAACGTCTACTCTTATGAGATTGAAGATCATCAATGTAGAATCCCGTCCAAGTTCGAAGAATCTATTCTCAGGGCACCTATTACTGCAACTTATTTAATTTAACCCTGAAGAAATCAGAATGAGCCATTGTAACAGTACGGATAATGGAGGGACTTGATGATATGGGAGAAAGACAACAATATTCATGCACCTAAAATCCTATTTCCAAAACTAAAGAAGTTGAGGTTGGAATTTATGCCTGAACTTAAAGGGATATATGGTGGCTTCATCAGTTTTAGCTTTCTATGGTGTGTTCAAGTAATTTCGTGTGATACTCTCAAGAGGCAACGTTTTGATCCCGATGATTTAGTTTGCAATTCTTTGGAAATCAACGGATCAAAGTATTTTCAATGTCTTATGGCCTATTGACAGATCAGCTCTCCTGTACAAAGAAGGTTGTGGGTTCAATTCCACCTTTAACCTCATGTCGTTAGTGCTAGTCTCTCTAATATTATCTTCAATTCTTACTATAATAGTTAATTAACTAACTTGAATAAATTAAGAAAATTAGTCAAGTTAGTTATTTATAATACATAAGTATTATCTTTTTCAAAATATCCTTACTAATCAAATGTATTAGTTAGAATTACTATTATTACAAATACTACCTTTGAAAAAAATGAATAAATATAAAAGACAAAATGAATTGGGATTTTATATTTAATATCAAATTAAAAGTCAAAGCAGTTTTTATATTAAGGACCGGAGGCAATACTTATTTAAAGGGTCAAAATATTGGTGGGAGTCACTTGAGTGGGGCGAACCTTCTGCGAAGCAAATGATGGAAGCTTGTTTCATAGAACTGCCAGCAATGGGGTCAGATCAAGTTGCTACTAGTAGCAGCCAAACAGGTCTGGATAACACAGAGTATAACCACACACAACCGTTTCTGTTGTTTCATTTGTCGAAGTTACTTTACATATACAGGGTGCTACTGTATACAATAAAGGAATCTTATTGTTTATTTGATATTGATTTTAAATCTACCTTTTAAATTGATATTGATAAGCTTACTAAAATATGCTAGTATTATCGTAACATACATGTGGCGCCATTGACTAGGTGCGTTAGTCTCTATTATCTCACTTTGATAATTTGCTGGAGTCCAAAATGAGGAAGATGACAATCTGAAATCAAGGTTTGAACAAGTGGTTTCACCAGTAAGACTTAGGGAGTGTTTGGGTGACACCCCAAACCATGGTTTGGGGAATAAATCACCCAAACACCCCCTCTAAAAATCAAAACCATGGTTTTGGGTCAAAACCATGGTTTTGACTCCAAAACCATAGTTTTGGAAAAAGTAAAATTTTTTTGCTTTTGGAGAAAAAAGGGAGAGTGTGAGGGCCTATATGATATGTATCTTGTTATTTTTTTTATAAACATATTTTTTTATAAATATATTTAATCTTATATTTTATAAATATATATACACATTAATTATTTATTAATTATATTATTTTATGTATTATTAATTATGTTGGTAAAAAACATATTATTAACAATTTTATTCTTTCAAATTAAAATATATCATAAAATCTATTTTTTCTGTAATTATCATATTAACTTATGTCTTTTTTTAAGTAATTTGTATATATAAAAAGTGCTTCTGATAACAACTATCCAAACACTCTTACTTCTCAAAATCACTTTTTTACAAAATCTATTCTTCACAGAATCTATTTTTCCCAGAATCTATTCTCCAAAATCACTTTTCCAAACCACGGTTTGGTTTCATCCAAACACACCCTTAAAGCAGATATTGTATATCTGAAGGCCAAAAGAACTTAAAGAGAAAAGGTTGTCAATTTGGTCTGTAAAAGCAACCTTTCAACCTCAATTAGTTGAAACAAAGGGCATATAATAATGCAGAATCATGATCACTTGTTCATGTGATGATGTGAATGACCATGCAAAAACCAAAAAAGTGGGCTCCACTTATGCACTACAATGGGTTAGGGACATAGAATTGCGGTTAACAGTTGAAGCTTTTGGTTTAGTAACAGCAAAAGATTACAACAAACCTACTTTTCCAACAGGAAACCTTAATTTCTATTTACCAGGAAAACAGAAGTGCAGTAGCATGATAATAACCTATGTTGGTTTTTTTTTTTTTTCATTCAATTCTTGTTCTTGTTCTGTTTTATTCTTTGCTCTCACCCTTTCAGATTTGGAATCTGAGTAATATAAGCAGGGAAGTAGGAAGATTTGGTGATGAATAGGACTTGTGGTCCAAAATGAGCATTGTAACTTGTTGGAATTGGCCTCTTGTTTTTAATTAGTGTGAACTCTAAATAGTGAAACCATAGTGTATTAGTTAGTTGGCGTCAACTACTTACTTACCTACTTTTTCTATCTCCATTGTTGATGCTAATGGCAGTCCTGTTTTCTTTTTCTTTCTTTTTTCTTTTTTCTTTTACTCCAAGTTGATTTATCTGAGATGCTTTGGGGAACATGTTTGAGTTCATAATATTATAAACATACTCATTAGTTTGGTTGTTGTCTAATTCCAAGGGTTTCACAATATTTTTAATTGGTTGTTTTTCGTGGGATTGTCTTATAATTCAACCGTAAAACAGTTAATGTCTTATTATTTGATTGCTTTTAAAAATGAAGTTTATACATGAAAAGAAAAGCGTCAATTTTCTATTGGATAGGACAAAGGTCTCCTAGACTTTTGGTATAGGTTCAAATCTTATTGGACGCAAATTATTTACATATATATTTAATTTGATTTCAAACCAAAAAAAATAAGATGAACTCACACGAGCAGACCTTAAATTTTATTTTTTGTGGGTGTGTTTGGATGAAATCAAACCGTGGTTTGGAAAAGTGATTCTGGAGAATAGATTCTGGAGAGAATAGATTCTGTGAAGAATAGATTTTGTAAAAAAGTGATTCTGAGAAGTGAGAGTGTTTGGATAGTTGTTATCAGAAGCACTTTTTATATATACAAATTACTTAAAAAAAGACATAAGTTAATATGATAATTACAGAAAAAATAGATTTTATGATATATTTTAATTTGAAGGAATAAAATTTTTAATAATATATTTTTTACCAACATAATTAATAATACATAAGATAATATAATTAATAAATAATTAATGTGTATATATATTTATAAAATATAAGATTAAATATGTTTATCAAAAAATATGTTTATAAAAAAAATAACAAGATACATATCATATAGGCTCTCACACTCTCCCTTTTTTCTCCAAAAGCAAAAATTTTTTGCTTTTTCCAAAACCATGGTTTTGACCCAAAACCATGGTTTTGGTTTTTAGAGGGGGTGTTTGGGTGATTGACACCCCAAACCATGGTTTGGGGTGTCACCCAAACACACCCGAAATTATGTTGGACGGTCCGCTTTTCAAACAAATAAAGCTCCTTTTTTAAATTTGCTGACGTGCATACAACTTGTCGAAAATGAAAGAAAATTTTGTGTGGTTTTAGCATAATTAAAGAGAAACATATGCACTTCATTCTTTGTTTTGCCCTCAAGAAAGTTAATACTACTTTTAATCTTTAATATAAGAGTTGGATAACTAATTTATAAACATTAAGAAAATTAGTCAATTTAGTTATTTAAAATAAATGAATGTTGTTTTCCATAAAATAATCTTCTTAATCATAAGCATTAGAATGAAAACTATTTAACATGTATAATTATTGTGGAGACTATTTTGAAAAAAAAAAAAAAAATATGGAAGACAAAATGGATTGAAGTCTTATAATTAAGGGAAAATGATTAAAAAAAAAGAAGTTGAAAATTTGTAAATGCCAAATAAGGAATATATATAAAAATTTGTTGTCATTTGCAAATTCAGTGTTATTAATGCCAAATAAAACGTTGTTATCAAATCTGATTTGAAATTTAGTAATTTTTTTTCTTTTTTTTTTGTCATTCTCCCTATAATTAAATCTCTAACTGGCTCTTATATTTAAAATTGAAGATAGTATATTCTATGAAAGTAAAATAAATATTTGTATAATTTTAATAAAAATCATAGAAGGTCTGGGTAATTAATCTTTTTCTTTTTCAGAAATTTGTTTATAGGTATTGAAATTGAAAATAAGATGAAACTCAAGTAAACTTAACAAGATTCAAGAAAGATTTTTCATAATGTTACTGAAAGATACGAGAAGAACAACCATTTACTTGCTGGAAATAAACACAGAAATTGAAAAAAGATCCACCACCCTGTTTGTTTCCTTTTAATTTAAAGAACATAATAATCACCTCACAAATGTGTTAACTTAAATCCTTACCTGATATAATCAATACGTCTTTGTATATAATTTTAGTTAAGTAAGGATTCCACTTGATTTTTCTCCCCACTTCAGATATGTGAGCCAAAATTTTACACGCAGCATTTATATTAAATTACTAGAAAGATTTCCCAAACTACGTGACCTGTAAAATGGTAGGCAGAAGAATATTATAAAATAATTTAAAGGGTTTCATTTCATGTTGCGATAGCCCTGTGAATCATCGAAGTCACTAGAGATCACTTTCTGGCTTCAACTACTTTTGCCTGTCTCTCTTTGGTACTTCTGTTTGTGGTATAATTTTCTTGTTTTTTTTTCTTTTTGGAAAAATTCACATGTTCCTTTTTGCCAACACAAGACATAATAATTACGCACAGCACAATAATCCAAAGAGGGAATAATCATGAGAGACAGTTCCTTATAGAGTGGGTAACAATATCTGATTATTTTCAATAACAGTACATCTCACTAACTTGACATCACGCTTACAAACTATATTAGCTTCTTCACCTGATACTTTATTATAACCATAAAAAGGGAGTTTTACAGTGTTATGCTACACATGCACGAGAGACTTCTACACCAGTAATTAAACACAACTTAATTTTGCTAAATATCATCAGTGGTAGTGATCTTGACGACTAGCTTGGAACTTGATGTTGTTCACACAGTTGCTACGCTCTTCATGGCTTCAAACCTTGGTTCTTTAGCCTGGAATTTGAGTCCTGCATAGAGCTTCATGTAATCATTGAACACAAATTTTGGGTAAGCCTGGCTTGCTTCATCTTCCTTCACCAAGGATGGTGCTGGGCATATAATGGCATCATCTCCAGGGTTGTAGAATGAAGCTAGGGACATTCTTGTTCCATCTGTTTGGGCAATCACACGGTGCATCACACTCTTGTATTTCCCATTGGTTATGACCTGTCATGATCAAAACAAAAAGGACTGTTAGATTGTTGATCATGGTGATCCCATTGGTGCCATCTCTGGTTGGTGTGAATCTTGCACACAGGGTGTTTGATATTTTGTCTAGATGAAAACTGAGACTGTGGAGGAATGGATAATTACTCTTGAAGTTGTATGGACACTGAGACATAAGTGTATTATCAGGTGTTATGTTGTGTTTTGATGGTTTACCTCGAGTTGGTCGCCGAGGTTGACGACGATGGAGTGGCGTATCGGAGGGACATCGATCCACTGGTCGTCTTTCAGGAGCTGTAAGCCACTGACCTTGTCATCTTGGAAGAGAAGGATGATGCCACCAGCATCTGTGTGGGCTCTGAGACCTTTGATCAGATCTGGTTTGGGACAAGGAGGGTAGTTGCTAACTTTGGTCCCAAAGTTTGGACCTTTGGTGCCATAGAACACCTTCTTCAGATACCCTTTTTCCAGCCCAAGGTTTTCACACAGCAAATCAAGAAGCACCAAAGCCAGCTTCTCCAATTCAGCAGCAAATTCCTTCATTGCCCTCCTGACACACCCAAGAAAAAAATAACACCAAGCATGCTTCTGTCAGATTCAGCCACGGACTTGTACCAAAAAAGAAGAAACTTACTGACACAAGAGTAATCTCAAAAGAAGTGACTGATTCTATACAAAAACTCATCTCAATTTTTTTTTCCAATTAAAGAGTATGTAGACTCTGCATCAACTTTAACCAAATATGTGTATGTTTAGAGAGAGAGAGAGAGAGGATGGGAATAAGATTGAGGTTATGATTTGGGACCTGAAATCTTCATGAAGATCAGGGATCTCTGAAATATTAGAGGTTGGGAGGTGGCGAACAAAGAAAGTGCTTTCCCAGTCAAGGTCATTAATTTCAGACTGAGCAGATTCAAGGCCTTTGCTTGCTACCATTTCTTTGAACCTCTGCTCCATACACTTCTTGTAGTGCTCTTTGCTCAGCCTCTCCACTGTGTCCATCAGCTCAATAGGAATGCCATGTTTCACCAGCTTCAGAAGAAACAAGGAAAACCCACAGAAAAAAACGCATATGTATCAGCACAGAAAGCTTTTCCCAGAACTCAGAAATGTGAACAAAACAACAAAGAAGGAATTAAAGGAATATCTCATATATATATATATATATATATATATGGTACCTCAAAGAAACCCCAGTTCTCACAGGCATCTTTTACCGCTTCCATGGTGGTTCCTCTCTCTTGAGTGTTCAACTTTCCCAAGTCAATAACTGGAAAGCTCTCCATTTTTCTCTCTTCTTTCTTTCTTTCTTACTCTCAGAGACAAATGGGCTGTAAGGATATGCTGTGTGTGTGAGTTGTGAGGATTGCTGTATCATGGGGTGCAATTTATAGGCCATCAAGGGGCTTCCTGGAAATAAAGAAACATTTTAAATTTAATTTAATACCCGGAAAAGATAAAGTTATGATGATGTTGTCTTCTTCAAGAAATTCTAAGCGAAAATAAAATTTGTACGAAATATTCTCATAACTTTTGTTATATATATAATTGACTTAATTTATTGATATATCTTTTGAAGATACCATCTGTGTGAATTCCATCCAGTGAGATATTGGATTCGCCATCTCAAACATTTGGAACCGTAATCAATAGATTATTAATTATATGTACTTTAAAAAGTTTTTCGCTATTAACATGGTAGAGAGATTTGAATCCCCACTTGTGACATGGCAGTCATTTGATGAGGAGAGAGATGAATCCAGCAATATTTTATCATTCTTGTTGATACATTTTGTTATGTTATATATCAAAAATATATAAATTCACGCATCAAATCTACGCAAGAAATAAGATCCTTATCACCTCTACCTCTTTGACATGGAATTTCTAACAAATTATTAACACAAGCATGTGCGGCCACACAAAAAGATTAAAGAAAATAAGTATATGTCAAAATCAAAATCTTGGAGTCTAAAACCTAATGGTAAAATGTCGTTTTTGAAACTTGCATTAAACAAAGTGTTTTTGAGAATAAAAGTAGTATAATATATTTAGCAGAGAATTAAACTTTAAAAAAAAAAGAATGATAAAGAAGAGAGGATGATTGCTTTGGCCAATTGCAATACCACAGTTCAAAAGAATAATATGGCTGCAATAGCAATAAACAAAGTTGGGTGGGAAATTCCAATCTCGGGAAAGGGAAAGAGAAAATAGAAAAATAAAAGCGCAACCAAATCTAAATAATCTCAAAGTAGAAAAAAGAAGGATACTAATATATTCTTGTATTTAAAAAAGGCAACTAATTAAATTGTATATATTGTAGTAAGAAGAATAACTCTTATATCGAGTTTGTGCAAAAGCAAAAGATGCTTTTAAAAAGGCTACATAACACCTATTTCTAGTTTTTGATCTGAAACACCTATTTGTAGTTGCACTTGGCTCATTTATATTAGTTGGAGTTAAATGTAACTTGATCTGCCTTAGTTGTAAATTGCTTAATTTCTATTATGTCATATTCTCTTTTGAGCAAAATGGCATATATCTAGAATCATATTAAAATCCGACTAATGAAAATGTTAGGTTCTATTCAAGATAATTAATTTTATTTAAGTTTGTGTGAAAATACAAGTATTTTTAAAACAGCTATCATAGATTGGCTTGACATATTATTTGGAGTCTATTGTGATTCTAATATTATATTACTACTTGATATAATAGCTAGTTAAAAATTGAATTCAATCATAAATATAAGATTTTTATCTATCATGTCCCTTCAATTTATAATGTTCTCTCTAAAATGTCCTTATTAATTATAAGGAATTCTACTAATGAATAGTTTCAATGTGCATGATCAAAAAGTGCAATTTAGAAGAGTTAATACACATCTTTTATAATTATCTTACTTAGCTAATTTTATTAATTCTTTTTAATTAATTATCTAACTTTTATATTATCTCTGGTTCTTAATATAAGAGTTTGTTTGACTTTTATTTTGGTCCTAAATATAATATTTCAATCCATTTTATCTCTCATATTTACCTATTTTTCTAAGGTAGTTTTTGTAATAATTATAGTTCTAGCCAATATATTTGATTAGTAATGATATTTTAGGAAAGATAGCACCTATTTATTACAATAACTAACTTAAATAGTTTTCTCAATCTACTCTAATTAATGAACTATCTCTTATACTACCTCCGGTCCTAATTATAAGAGTTAGTTGACAAATTTAAGAAAATTAAGAAAAAAAATTAAGTTAGTTATTTGTCATAAATATGTGTTGTCTTTCCTAAATATCCTTACTGATCAAGTGTATTGACTAGAACTATCATTGTTAGAAGGACCATCTTGTAAAAAAATGCATAAATATTAGAGACAGAGTAGATTGGGATCTTATATTTAGGATCAAAATAAAAGTCAAATAAAGTTTTATATTAAGAACATAAAGTAGTATTAAATACGTATTAAGTAATTTTCTTTTTACAAAAAAGATTAAGATAGAAATTAAGTAATTTACACTGCATCATAACATTTATTTATGATATTTGGTTGTTATTTTTTGAAAATTAATATATTTATATTTATATAAGGCACATCGATATGATGGAGGCTTAACATCTTGGGGGCCGTGAGTACGGGGGATATGTGGCCAGGATGTTTGGTGGAGGACATGGGTCCCCTACCTAGTTGGGTGGTGCTTCTTCTGCTCCCTCTTCAATTCATCATCTTCTTCTTCCCTTCACAAAACTTGAATTCATCCACGTGCTGTTCCGATTCGCCTGCTTCTTTAAGAATGGTGACTTTGAATCAAGAATGATTCAATTTATAAGATTTTGATTCATATCTTGCAAAAATATATATAATTTCAAATCCCTTTTATTGATACACAAGAACTTTGTTAATTGGTACTTAATTAGATGCTCTAAATTTAAATTTTTTATATGTCATTTTGTATTTATAATTAAGTTCAATAGGAATTGTTCGTATTTAATCTGGATGATCCATATTAATGATAAGAACCCTGCATGTTTATGATTCTAATGTAGATTTGACCCGCAAGGTCTATTTTGTCCATAATAAATTACAATAAAAGTATGATCTAATTTTACTATTGCATAATTGTTGGCAAAAAAAATTCTGCTATATGATAAAATTTTAGATTTATTATTACTCTTAAGAAAATCCCTATCTAAAAAAACAAATTTTAATTTAAATAATTCAAGTGATAATTAAATTTGTGAGGCAGTACTACTGATAATTTGCTATCACACTTCTAGAAAAAAAAGTAATTTTTTTACTAATTAAAAAATGCATTAATACAAAGAACAATAGTACAAACTGCTACAAAGGAATTGAAGAAGCGATCAGTTACAACATTTAAATTTAGCCTACCTACTTTTTTTGCCAAAAAAAAAAAATTTAGCCTACCTACCCTTTGTCTCATAGCACGGGCTAAGAAAAAATATAATTTAGTTGGTTCATTTTATTATCACAGCATCTATCAAGTCAATCTATAGTTTAATTCAAGAATCTCGTTAAATGTTAGTAACGTAATAAACTATGCCCTTTACGTGTCATTTTTTTAATTCATATTTTTACTTCTGTAATCTGTTAGATCCCTTATGCCTCATCTTCTTTTTCTTTTCCTATCTTAAATATGTTCCTAAGCCTGGCATGAAATCTAGCTTCTTAATTAGTGATCTCTTAAGCTAATCATTAATTGTTCAGCAAGTACTCAATATATATCATTTTTTTTCTACATTTAGATGCAGAAATAAGAACTATATTAATTCAAAATATGATTCAGACGGAATTAAACCACGCTGCCCAATAACTTCATCAGTACGTCGCGAGACACATTGATGAGACTAGGAATTATGAAAAGGCAGAGTTTCATTAATAAGCCCATGAAAGAAAGACACATAAAGCTAAAGCATAAACATCATGATCATGCTTAAATCAATTACACTCTCAGATGTCTCCGTCCCTCAAAAATTAATTAAACGAAGTGGGTGTGCACCCTTCGCAACATACTTTGAATCAAACAAATTAAAATTGCATTAATCAAATTAAATAATTAATCAACATATATCCCATATGAGTGGAAAATAGCATCTACAGTTATATATTTCTGTAACCTCTAATCAATTATATATATCATTGCTTTAGCATCAATCTTTTAGCCAGCTACTTCAAAATATTGTCACTTGCAATAGATTAATCCTAGTTGTTAACAGATTAATGATATCTAATCCACAGGAGATTTTCATATCAAGTTATTTATGGCATTTAATGTCCTTCTTCTTCCAAAAATAAACATGTGCACTATATATATACACACCTTCAGATCCGAAAAGAATACATTGTATCTATGTATTCATGCATGAAATATAAAAAGAACATATCTAAGCTAGTATAGCACTACGAACAGAATATTTGGATTGAATCAAATAATGAAATGAAGGAGTAGTTCTTTGATTTAAATTTAGATAATTAAACATACTTTCATTTTTTTTCTCTATTCTTCTTCACAATGAATACAAGCATATATACAACCAAGGTTCTCTATTAATATTGTTGGCTCATTATGTAAATTCTATTGATATGAAGGTTACTTAGTCCACACTTTTAAAATGTGCATTGACAAGAAATATAATTAGTGATAGCATTCAAGTCATTCTTAGTCACACTTTTTCTTTAGTTCATAATTAATTTCTTTAGTTCATTTATATTTGGTACACACGCACACAAATACTTCTGAGGTTAATCAACGACACTGTCATCTAATAATGTATACTCATATATGGTTTTGTTCAAAAATAACGAAATTCATTATTTAACACAAAGTATTGCGCTGGCATTTTAATGCAACTAGCTAGTGATAAAACATAAATACACACTCAATCACCCATACACTTCAAACATATAAATATGAATTATAAGTTAATCGATTTGTCATCATATGCATCAAGTTGTAAGATGCCTTAAAGATTTCCGAGACATCATAATTATATGCCTGTTACAGAAAAGATAAAAATTTCGGTTTATCTAAAGAATAATCTCTCTGATCATATGAGCTGTATGTTAGCATGTTTTCTTATATAATATAGCAGTACAAGTTAAAAATAATCATATCACATACATTCTTCTTAATAAATTTTATTTCTATATATATGTGTGCGAGCGCGCGCCTGAATTATGTCATCAATTATGATTTTTTAGTGGTTTTAATTAAGGTGCATTTGTTTATGTCCATTACAAGTTACAACCAATTTTTCAATCAAATCTTAACATTTAGATTTTATTATAGTTATAATTATAACCAATTACATTTAAATAATAAAGTGTAAGAAAA